TCTCTCATTTCAAGGATCAGTTTCAGAAGCAGGAGTGAAGTAGGCAAGATCAAGTTCTTCCCGACGTCAGGGTCCAGCTGAGGGCTAAGGCAACCAGAGCTATATATAGGGCCTAGAGCGACCTGGGGGCAGGGGCGGCCTAGGGCCTGGCAGAGGCTGGAGAGCCAGGCGCTGGACTGCAGGGCTATGGCCGGACCAAGCCGGCCCTCATGGGAAGAGGGAGCAGAGCGTGGGCTTCAGGCCCCAGGCCCATTTTCCAAAGCGCACCCATCCCACCCCAGCACTCCCGGGCCCCCTCAGGTGCATCTGGCCTCCTTGCCTAAACTAGGAAAGGCGCCCTCACCACTGAGCTCTGCTCTCAGGCTCCGCTTGTGGGTGAAAGAGGGCCAGTGGAGGTGGGGTCCGGCAGGGAGGCAAAGTGTGATTTGAAGAAGGACTTCGAATTTGGATTGATGGGGACCTGGGCGAGTTCTTCCTCCATTGCCAGAACAAGAGATTCGCTCAATTCCCCACCTAGCGAACCCGAGTGCCCGCCCACCAGAGCGCTGAGTTGGTAACTAGGGAGGGAAATCTCCTCGGGCAGTGGCTGGACCTTGGCAGCGTTGCACTGGAGGCGGCGGGGTGGGGGTGGGGGTATAAAAAGGCAGAACCTGCGCCGGCGAAAGGCCCGAGACGGGGCCGGGAGCTCGGGAAAGGCTGCGGGAAGGTTAGGGCTCGGGCTGCAGGTGGTGGTGGGAGCCAAGCCGAGGCCACAGGCCGAGACGCACGGACACCGTCCGCCCGCCGGCCTCTGCGCACGTGGCAGCGATCCGTGGCGCGCTCTGGCGCCCCCTCCCAGGGGTGCTACGCGCCCTCGCCCTATCGGGCCCCGGCTCGGGGCCGCACGTCGGGTCCGCGCCCAGAACCAGGGCTTCTAGTGCTTCTCCGGCCCCCGGGTGGGCAACAGGCGGTAATGAACAAAAGACCAATTAGAGTCGGGGCACGGCTGATGAATGGACCTTTCGCTTTCAAGTGTGGCACCGCCTCTGCTTTCCTGGCGCACCGGGTCGCGCCTAGAGAAGCCGCCTCCTGGAGCGGGGTCACGGCTGGGGTCAGCGGGTTCTCAAAACTCCCACTTCCCCCTCTCTCCCGGGCTGTTTGCGGAAGTCCAGCCGGCGGCCGAGCCGCAGGCCGCGACTGCAAGCAAGCTAGCGCGTGGCCCCGCAACTGGTTCCGCGAGCAGCGACCCAGCGCCGGAGGCCGCGGCCGCGGCAGCTCCCAGAAGGCGCCTGCGGAACTCCAGAGCTGATCACTTGAAGAGGACAGGCCGGCCCAGGAAAGGGGGCAGTTACAAAAGCCACTGTTTGTCAACAAACTCCCGAGCGGGATGGGGGTGGGGTGCGTGGACGCGCCTGTGATTGGCTGCGGGGACAACACTGGAACTCAAGTCTCCTCGCTAGGCACACGCATCAATGCTGCCAGGGTGCCTGGCATAGATGCCCATCGCCGGAGAACCCTCAGCCAATACCGGAGACACATTTTGCCCGCGCGCGCACACACACGGATGCCATCCCATCCTGTAAGATCCACCACAAGTACAGTCTGGCTCACAGTCACTCGCAGTGCCCACACTGGGAGGCACACAAAATCTACATCGCCACGCCTTTCTTTGCACGCCACCTAATTCCTAACTCGTTCACACAATCGACACAAGTTCCATTGGCCTCTGCAGCTTCTAACGCACTCGCACAACCTGCGCTGAATGGGACGTGGGGCCGCCGACACACAACGGCATCGCCACAACCCACACCAACACAATTGCTTCACAGACCTCGCCTGCACGCTTAGGTTAGTCTACACAAACGCACAGCCACAGTCCCCACCTTAGCTCACAAGCACACCCCGACACCGCCTACACTGCCCACATTCCGCAGCGCAGACACCCCCTCCCACCGCGGAACAGGGCCCGGGGCCAGGCCTCTGAGCCACTGCCTGCAGGAGACCCTCCCGAGACTGCCTGCCCGCCCGGGACTTTGTTTCCTGCGACTCAAGGCGGGGACGGGGAGGAGCCGAGGTTTCTGGAGCCGCGCGCAGGCCCGAGGCTTCTTTCTGGCCAGCCCGCTCGGCGCGGCCCTGGGCCGGCCACAATCCGCCCCTCGCACAAAAGCCGCCCGGCAGGTTCCGCGTCCCGGCCAAGGCGCCCGCGCCGGCTTGGCTGGGCTGCCGGGACTGGGGCAAAAGTGGATATGAGCACCACCGGGCACCCAGAATGGGAGTCTGTCTGGGAGGGGTCTAGGCCCCATTGCTTCTGGCGCCTCGGGAAAAATGCCCCTTCCTCCAGCGGCCGCGCAGAGGAACCCGGCCGGAGCGAGAGACGCACTCGAAGCCCACGTGTTCCTCACCAGAGCGTGCAGCCGGGTCCCAAGTGCATTGTACATTCAGTTTGACCCTCCCTCCCAGAGAAACACAAACTGAAAACGTTGGCCTCTGGTTTCCGGAATAACCACTCCCTCAAGAGACTTGGCACAGCGGGACGCACAGGGGGGCACCCAGAGTAACCCACACGGGACCTGTACCCGACCTTTTATGTGGGGTCATTGACAGACCCGAGCGCCTGCGGAGCGCCGCGTGCCGGGAGGGGAGGACAGCCCAAGCAGGCCCAAGAGGAGCACAACTCCGGCCCGACACCCAGGACACGCGAGGGGAACAAATCTTGGGCTTTCACCTCCTGCACATCCCTGCGCACTGCCTGCCCCAACTCGAGCGCACAACTAGGGAGACGCCGCCGGGAGGCACACCCGCCCCGCGCGCACCCTGCTCCACGCCCCGCGCCCAGAGAGTCTTCGTGGGATGGTACCTCGCAAATATTTATATTCCTCGGCGCCACGGCGGGCCGCGTCCACATTAGGCGCTCTAATCCTGCCACTTTAAATAGATGAATTAATAAAGCAAACGAGCGGCTAATAAGCCGCCGGTCCTGCCTTTTTGAGGCGGGGGAAGGACTCGAAAGTGCGCCAAATTTGTTTGCAGTGGATCAAGGCGAGCCGCCTCTGCTTCACTTTCTTTATCTTAATTCCGACTTGAAAAGATATAATTATCTAGTTTGAACAGAACTGCTATCAAATCCTTCTTTGGACCAGGAAGGGGGGCGTTGGAGTGGATTGCAGCTCTCTGAGCCGCTCGGTGCAGCCGGAGATAGCGCGTAATGAAGATGTGGAGGCCTGAGATACAAAGGGCATTAACCTCATTAGCATGAAACCTTTTCTTCTTACCATTGTGGGACCCTTTCAGCCGCCTAATCCCCCCTATTTTCAAAGCTTGGTTTGTAATAAAGCTTTTAGGTTTTTTTTTTTTCCTTCCAAAGCTAATAGTATTCTCTGATGATTTTATTGCTGTTACACTACACAGGACATTTACCAAAAAAAAAAAACACCGCACACTTTGCCACCCTCTCCCTTTTCTCATACTTAAAAAATAAATAAAATCTATGGTTCTTACAGAAATAACCCTTTTGTCAAGATGAGAATTTTTATAGAGTTTGGGACAGGGAGCAAGAGGAAGGCGAATCTTCCTTTAAGGAACTCTGAATCTGTTTGGGGCATTCCTGGTTTGGGGCGTGAGAAACTGTAGTTGTTTGAACGGAGTGGCTGCAAAGTGCTTGGGACAAGCAAGTGGCCAAGAATGCCTCTGATGAAGTGGCTCGGAGTTCCACGATGGTCCTGGATGGGGCAATCCTAGGCCTTCCAAGTCCACCCTTCTCCTCCCAGCATCCTCGTAGGGCCGGCTTTCCTCCCAAAAGACACAGACTGGGGAGAGGGGTCTGCTAAAAGTGCACCATGAGCAGCCAGAGTGCTCTAGAAGAATAAGGAGACATGGGAAGAGATAGAAAAGAGAGCGGGGTGGGGGGGACTCAGGGAATGAAATCGACTTTAGAAGGGAGAAGAGAAGGGGAAAAGGAAAGAAAAAATTCCATGGTGCCCTATAGTGCCCACACGTGCAAAGAATGTCTAATCTTAACTTTTCAAGGCAGGATGTTAACAAAGCTTGTATTTCTGCCCTGCATTGTAACTTGGCCTTATCACAGTGTAAAGGGTGGGGAGATTGTCCTAAATTATGTCCAGGCAGCCCCCCTGGATCCGTGGATTAAGAGATTAAAGGAGACCACTGGGCAAGGCCTCCTCTTTCCCCTTCATATTCCTGGTATGATAATTGCTTAAACTGATTTGCACTTTCACAAAAGCTCGAAGGACGCTTTGTAGCTGGAACAGAACAGACGAGGTTTCTCTATCAATGGAAATAAAACTGATTAATGCGGCCTATCAGGATAAGAAGCAAATGAAGCATGCAAAAACAACCTCGTACCCCCAGAAGGGGGAGGGGGAAAACGAAGTTTCCTCCAAGACTGGTTGCAACTTTTTCTTTAATGTTAAGAGTTGATGGTTTTTCCGAATGCTTGCCTTATAAGGCCTCTGAGGCCCCAAGACTCACCCCGTCACCTCCAGCCCATTGGGTCCAGAGAGAAAAGGAAGGAAGAGAAGAGAGGCGAGAAAAAAGCAGGAAGAGAGAAACACACTCTGATTGGGGAGTTTTAAGTCTGAAATAGTTTCAAAGTCCTCAAACGCTGAACCGGCTAAATGCTTTCCCAAATCCTGGGCATATATCGTTTCATAGATATCTATATTTCCATACTTTAATTCTTCATCAACACCATCACCACTAGAGGTTTAAGAGAAGTCAATATTTTTAACCTGAAATTCAAACTGAACTCTGAGTCGGGCACGAAATAGGTAAAAGTTGGGTTGTAAAACTCTTCTCTCCTCCCTTTTCAGAAGGACTTACATTTGTTCTAATCTCTCCTTTTTCTACCTCCATCTCTCTTAAAAATGTCCAAGAAATCACCTGGTCAGCCGCTTTCTGTTGGGGAGGGTTCCTGGGCTTTTTGGATCCAGTTGAGGGCAGACCACACTTAAAAGCTCCCTTTTTTTGGTTTTAAATAGCTTTCAATTTCCCAAGACAACTACTCTGTGGGCATATTGATAAATCTTTATTGACAAAATATTGACATTGACATACTTCTTGGAAGTATATAGTGTGTTAGAATTCTAACAAATTAACACAAAACACAAAAATATTTACATTCTGGTATAGAAGACATTAAGGAAGCATTTGCCACTCTCTTTAGTAAATCTATGCTCTTGGAATAGAAACTCAGTGCTTGAAAACTTATCGCCGCGTCCTTGGCCACACTTATCATCCCCACTAACTACAGTCCTTCAGTTTTCACAAGAGATCGAGTTTATGTTTGGAATGGCCTCTACGGGTGAATGGTTGGACAGGCCAATTTCTCCAACCACCAAAGGGAGATATTGCCTTCATGGTTGTAAACCTCGGGATGTTAGAAATGAGAGTGTCCAATAAATTGAACTAATTTAGTTTTTGTTGTTTTGGGTTTGGGTTTGTCTATTTGTTTGTTTTTCCAGCACAAGTCCTGACTCCATTGTAGGGACCCTCCTGTCACCCCCAGCCCCTACATGCTCCCTGCCCGGCACTCCTTAAGAGGACCACTATTTGGAGCCTACCTCACTTAGCTTTCACAATCACTTTGACATCAGAAGGTATCAAAAAGCGTTTACACACTGCACATGTCTCCGAAGGGGGGGGGGATCCAAATGAAAAACACACAGAACTTGTCTTTCAAAGGAAAAGCAAATTACAATTCATTTTCTGTCTTTAGACACCATTCGCCCAACCACTGCTACATGCAATTCAAGTTTTTGAAACAGGTGTGGGAATGAGGCTGGAGATGGAATTTTGAACCTTATTATTACGGATTCTTTACTGCGAAGTGCAAATAAAAAAAAGTCCGGTGCCTAGACGAGTTGGTTTGGTTTTGATCATCATTGCCATCATTTTTTTTCTTTTAATGGACTGCGATTAAAAACGGAGTACCTGCCAATCGGGATGTCTAGCTGGTTTGGCTTTTGACTGACAGCTCCCCTGCTCCAGCGCGGTCCGCTGGGCCACGCTGGGATTCTCTCTCTCTCTCTCTCTCTCTCTCTCTCACTTGTTCACGCACGCACTCACTCAGCTGCCTCTATAAAGGAGGGTTGCATGGTGATGAAGGAGACTCCGCCATCCTCTGCCTCGTTTTGAGGCCCGTGGTCGCCACTCCCTGGACTCCCTCTCCCCTTCTCTGTGGATGTGTGTGTGTGTGTGTGCGCGCGCGCGCGGGCGTTGTGGGATTTTGTTCTGTAGGTTTGTCTTCGCTCCCTGCCTGTTCTGCTTCTTGTCCGTTTCTGTGGGGTGCTGTTTGGAGTTTCAGTCGTCGGAGGTCACGTCTATTTCCTCGGGACTGGCCTGCTTGGTGGCGATCCTCCACCGGTTAATATGGTGCGTCCCTTTTTTCTTTTGTTGTGAATCCGAGCCTTCTTCCTCTAGCTTCTGCCTTTTGAACTTCGTCCTTCGGTTTTGAAACCATACTTTTACCTGCCGGCAGAAGCAGACAGGCCATTAGTTCTTCTCCTGCGCCTGCGAAGCAGCTACCCAGTCTGGGAACCCTTCCCTCAGCCCAGACCCCGTGCCCACACTGCCAGGACCTAGTCTCCCAGCTGCAGAGTCTACCGCCACCATCCCCCTGGGCTCCGCTCCGGAGTGCACAACACCCTTCCCCAGCTTCCCCGAGTGAGGCACCCAATGCCCACCAGCACAAAGTTCTTGAAAAGAACAGGCACGTCTTTAAAAAAAATACCCCAAGCTCCCTGCCCACTCACAGCGACCCCATAGGGCAGAGTGGAACTGCTCCAAATGGTTTGCAAGACAGATAACCTGCCACATCCTTCTCCTGCAGAGGAGCTGGTATGGTAGGTTCGAACCTCCAACCTTCAGGCTAGCAAGCAGAGCACTTAACCATTACGCCACTAAAATAAGTGATAAGTGAGGGGAAAATTGAAGAGACGTGTCCTTAATTTCCTCGTACAAGCCGGTGCAGGACTGACCTCCTGGGCCTGTGGCTGAGGCTCTCCGCTGGGCCCAAAGCGCTTTCTATTTTCAGCGGCTTTGGGCTGCCTGGCCTAAACATAGCGCCCTCGCCTCAGCAGGCCCCAGTCTTGCGCTGACAGTCAGGGTCCGCCAGAGCTGTATCCGCCTTGTGGCGATTCTCCCAGGTGAGCAGCGAGAGGTGGGGAGCTCTAGGAAGTGGTGGGAAGGGTGGGGTGCTTAAGCCTGGAGACCCGTTTAGCTGTAGACCTGCAGCCCGGCAGGCAGACTCAAAGCGAAAGCTCCCAGGAACAGGGAGCGAGAAGTTAGAAAGACTGAGACAGCAGGGGAGAGGCCAGCTGCCTTCTCCTAACTAACCAGCCTCTGGACTGGTCTAGGCCTAGACAGGACTCAGGTCACATCAAGTCCCACCAGAGTGCCCACAGACTGGCCTTACAGGATGGGGAAAGCAGTGAGACCCAGTCGTTGCTCCCAGCCCCCTGGGGAAGCAGGACAGTGGGTCCCTATCTCAGCGACCCTACAGCAACACTGCCCAAGCGCCCACCAGTGGGTTAAGTCCCACCATGGTGACTTCAGCCTCAGGACACCCCCACCCACCCGCTTTCTATAGCGACAGCAACAACCCAGGCCAGGTCCAAATCCTCCGTCCCACATGTCGGATCCATGCTCTCCTTTAGGACAACCGGTCCAAGTCCCCGGCTCTCTTCCCTGCCTGCCTCAGTCCCCCAATGTGCCCCATGGCAGAGCAGAGCGGGAACAAGGCTAAGTTTAATTTGCTTTGAGTTTGCTAATTGAGGGGGAGGACGGTTCATTTCTCCCCGGCGCTCGCCCAAGGCGCACGTCGGTGCGCTCAGGGCTTGACACGCACACAAAGGCTCCAGGCAGCGTGGGCAGCGAGGCGGACAAAGACCTCCGCCGCCTGGGCTGTCCGGGAGAAATCAGCCGGCCGCGCCTTGTGCCGACCGAGCACACACCCGGGAGCCCCTCCTTGGTTTTGTGTGGGGGGGACGTTTTAAAACAAAAGCCTCGACCTCTTTGCGCCTCCCAGAAAAAGTGTTACAACTTAATCGGCCTGAAAACGTTACTGTTTACTGGGAACTTTGACCCCGCCCTGCGGCTCCGCGTACAGTAGCGCCTACTGTAGCCCTGTGCCCCCTCCCCGCCCAGGGGCAGGCCCCAGCCAGGCCCGCCTCAGGACCCCGCTGCGCAGGAAGGGCCTGTCCCCTGAGGCTGCCCCTCTCCGCAGCTTCCCAGCCAAATTGCTCTGGTTTAGGGGCGAGAGGCAAGTGCCTGGCCTCCGTAACAGACTCTGATCGCCTGTTAGGGAGTAACTGGATGCGTAGCTGGGACCCGAGAGCCCGCAGTAGTTTGCACCTCGCTCTTAACCAGCTCCCTACCTTATCCAGCCTGGCGCCCCAAACACTCCGACACCCCGCTAAGTTCTTGCTCTCTTTGGACCCAATGGTGAGGCACTTGGCCTGTCTCTGAGGGCAGCCAAAACCTCATGAATCGCACCCAAAGTGCAGAGTCATCTTAGCCTGGAGCCTCTAGGGATGAGCAGCAGGGGATGGGATGGGGTTGGGTATATAGCTGGCTGCCTTCGGAAGTCTGGGGACACCTGACCCTTACAGCCTCTTGCTGGAGACCCATGAAGGCAGGCACTTTGAAACCCACACCCCTCGAGTCAGGAGCCGGGCATGGCACAGAACTGTGCCCTTGGCGAAAGGCGGTCTGCTAACTCCGCACTGCGGGTGCTGGATTCTGGGCCCTGAGATTTGGGGGCTAAGGCCACATGAGGACCCGGCTGCTGGACCCGGCCGCGCTCACCTGAGTTTCCGTGAGGCTGAGGCTGTGAGCCAGCTGCTTCCTCTCGGCGCCCACCACGTAGTGGTTCTTCTCGAAGGCGTGTTCCAGCCTCAGAAGCTGGGACGGGGAGAAGGCGGTTCGGATCCGCTTGGGCTTGCGGGCCAGCGCGTTGTGCAAAAGGAAGCTCTCTGGGCTGGTGTCGTTCCCTGCGGGGGGCACAGCAGAAGCCCCGTTGGAGTGGTAGCCCGCTCGCTCCGCGCGCTTCTCCCGAACCGGGCTACTGAGGACGCTGCGCTCAGAGCTCAGCCAGAGCCGCGCCGCCGGGTCTGCGGGACTCCAGCCTCCCAAGGTGGACGCCCGCGCCGCTGCTTGCTTGGACAGACGCTACCACCGATGTGCACCCACCCGGCCGCTGCACCGGCAGGCAGGCGAGTCCGCGGGTCCTTCGGCCCCGAACCTCCGCGGGCTGCGGCCGCGCTGGCGTCTTGGGCCTTGGAGCCCAAAGCCCGGGGCAAGGGAGGGCGCCTCCCTGCCAGGCCCTTCCCATGACCCAGAGAATCGGCTTTCTGTCTAACCGCTCCGGGAACTTTGATCCCGAGGTAGAGAGGCGGCGGGCCGCTTTCCAGACTTAGAAACTTACTGAGATATTATTCAAGTATTGTTTCCCCTCCGGGGAAGTGCGGAGGCCGGGCTTGTAGTTCCTGCACCAGCGTATGCGCGCGGCTTTTACTGCCGCCGCCTCCTGGCTTTCAGCTCCCGGCTCCAAAGAACGTGAAGACGGTCGCTGGCGGAGCGATCGAAATCCGGGTATCGGAACCACTGGGAGTATCCCCTGTCACTGCAAAGTCCCCACTAGGGTAGGCTTGGTGGGGGCTCAGAGCCCTGTCTGACAGGAAGTGTTGAGAGAAGCCTCTAAACTTTTGGAGCCCAGCCTGAGTTTGTTAGGGTGGAATATTGATTTCTCCAAACTCTCAACAAAGAAAGACAACCCACATTCCGGCAGGAATGAAAGTAAATTCGTCTAGGAGTGAGCGGGGCCGTTGTTTTGTTTTCATTGGTTTGGTTTGGTTAATTATGAGGGTGGCATCTACTCCATTTCAGGCTTCCGCGGGAAAGTGAAGGGTTAATGAATGGACCCGCGGTTGGGTACTGACCCATCCAAAGAGGGTCTTTCCCCCACTCACTCGCCGCTTTTTCTGTACTTTTAAGTATCTTCCAAGCGCCAGTCGTGGGCGGAGGTCGGGGACAAATAATTTTTTGTAAGACAAGAAACAAAAACACCCAAACAAGTCCTCCCTGCCAGCTCGTCTCCGACCCGGTTCATTTCTTTTCAAAGAAAGACAAAAACCAAACCGAATCTGCCTTCCCGCCGCAGCCGCTCGGCGCCCTAATCCCGCAAGTCGCTGCGCTAGCGCGCGGAGCCCCTGGTGTGCCTCGCCCCCGCGGCCCTACCCCGCTCTCCAAAAGCAGAAGATAAAAACACCCTAGACTTGGCTCCAGAGATGTGGGGGACTCCCTCGCCGCCGAACGAGGGTAGGAAATTGAGCAGCTGCCGGGCTGAGCAAAGGGGGCGCCTAGTGGGTGGCTAACGGGGCCGAACTCAGCCAAAGGCAGAACCAGGAGGCTGGACCCTGTCCGTGCCCCTGGGAGCAGGGGTCGCCAGGGGCATCGCCGAAGGGAAGCGAATTTGAGCCCTCTACGGGCTTCAGTATTCTTGGGCAGCGGGCAGCCACCGCTGGCTGCCCAGCCCGCTCGGCCTGAGCGCACTGGGGTCAACTTCCCTGTCCGCGCCCCTTTCCTCAAAGGACCAAGCGCCAGCAGGCCAGCCCCGCAAAAAAGTCGCAGCTCCGCGAGCACACCGTGCTGTGTCCCCAGCCACCCCGCCTCCGTCCAGGCGAAATGATGTCCGCCTAGGGCCTTGCCCGGCGCCCACCCGGGCGGGCCAGGCCGGTTCGGATTGCGACTCCGCGGCCCCGCGGCCCCGCGACGTGGCACGTACCTTGGAAGCGGTGGCCAAGATACCGGTAGCGGTGGATGAGCCAGGGGTAGAAGGTGGACGGGTCCCTCTGCTGAGAAGCGAAGAGGGGGTGTGGCGAGTGCGAGGAGGGCAGGGGGTGGGCGGCCAGCGCGTGCGGCGGCGGCACCGGGTGCACCGGCACGGCGGGGTTGGGCGGGTGCGACACCGCCTCGGCGAACACCAAGTCCGGGTTGGAGTAGACGCCGTTGAGAAACGGGTTGATGGGGCTGGAGTTGGCGTAGCTGAGCGCCGCGGGGCGGATGGGGTCCTCGGAGCGCGAAGCAGGCAGGGGACTGTCCTTGGCCACCAACGATTCGATGGTGAAGCAGCGCTTGGGCGCCGGCTGGAACATGCTGCGCCAAGAAGCGGGCGCCCGGGGCTCCCGGCTCCGGGCGACCGCGGCGCGCTGCCTCCTCCGCCCGCTGCCCGCGGCGAGCACCGACGCGACGCGAATGGGGGGCTTGTTTGTTTGGGGCGGTGGGGGCTGGGGGGAGGAAAGAAAGAAAGGGAAGGGAAGGAAAAAGGAGAGGAGGGGGGAGGGGAAGGAGCGGCGTCGCCGCGGATCCCGAGAATCTTGCACCAAACGCGCCCAACCTGGAGAGAGGGGAGAAATC